ATGCTGCACAATGGATAGGCTGAATTCCATATAAGTAGGCGTAGCATTACATCAGTTGACATCAGCATACATGAAGTCGATATACATTTACCATAAGTTGCGTCACTTGTCGCCCGTCATATCCATATGCTTAGAATTTAACATGGTGCCAGACAACAATTTAGCCTTGAATGTGAATAAGTAGGTGTACTGTTGGTGACATAGACCTAGAGATAGAAAGAATTCCATATAAGTGGATGTGGCATTACTGCTGTAACTTGTCCTATGATCATTTGCAGTAGTCGCATTAATTTTGACTTCCTGCTTACACTTTCCTGAATACGAGAAGGGCATTATCCTTTTCATAAGAGACAAAAATAAACTGCGCTTAGCCAAGCGACCAATATAAGAACTGGATATGTGGTGGAGGTTACATAAGTGTTGGCACCACCAAGAACTTGGAAGTGTTAATTTGCTTGGAATGGTCTGTGGGAGGAAAAGGGGACGTTGTGTTCTAAGCAACATAAATCACATTTATCTCCTCATCTTCTCCCTGAACCTCCCCTGCCAACTTGGCACCCGCTATACCCTTGACTAATTTTGCCCATGTGATAAGACCCTGTCATTACTACTGCCTTGTGTCCTGAAGCAAATGTTCGCTAATATGGGAAAAAGTGTCGTGCATCTACAGTGCAAGATAGGAGCAGAGGGGCAGAGTTGAAAAGCACCACTGGTGCATTATCAAGAGTTTACTCATCAGTGATTTCGTGAGCAAATTGTTGCGTTGCTTTAAATGTCACTTCATATAACTTCGACCTTAAACCGTTAGATGGAAAAGAAGTTATTTTATACCCTTATGCGTCTTTTTCCATCTCTTCTTGGTTTTGGAAAATATTTGAGAATTTGCTGTATTTTTACTTTGGGGTGAACTACACATATGCCGTCGTTAATACCGGACTCACTGCCAATCCCTCAACATGTCATATAATTACAATGAATTCAAATCAGCTAAAATGTGTGGCAGATTGGTCAAAATTAATGATAAACAATTAAAGGTAGTGGATGACTTGCGGCTGCGTAAGTGCCAAGTATATTTAATTGCAACTAAGTCTGCGTCAATATACTGTCAGAGCTATGTAAATTCAGTGATCACTGACCGCCGCTGCTCATCGTTTCAATCACATGAGCGGTTACACCCCATGACGTGGTGACGACATGACCCGATTTTGAAGAACTTGTTCCTTGGCAGTTTTTCATGTTTCGGCCATCGTACTAAGCACCACTCGTTTCATCTACTGTAACGTAGAATCTTATCCTTGTTGCATTTTAATTACTTTGTGTCCCTTTTCCTCTGAGGGAACAATAACTGTGCTCACCGTATTTTGGAAAATAAGAATTATGTAGAGTAAATCTGTAATGCAAAACTAGCTGCTGCATTACTTTTTACTTGTCAAACTTATGTAACTCTACGATTATAACATCTTCAACGGAAAAGCGTGCCTCTTTGCAATGTGCTTATTCAATTGGCTGAATCAAAATTCTCCGCTTTATCACGTTCACTTGTTGCCTAGAGTAATATCATGATTAAAGTTGCGGCTGTTGTAGATGCAGTAAAACACCTGCTGCCTTTCACGTTAAATAGTCCACTTGCCGCAATGCTTTGAACGGTTCACTTAAGTGACTTGCCTTTAGACTTAATGATAAATGAATATTTACACGGAA